TAAAGTTAGATCCTTGCACGAGGGAGCATGTTAGAGGTGTAATATAAAACTGTTCGTGTATCTTCACCTAACAATTTAAGTTTTTTAGATAGTTGGTTCATGATAGTCCACATAACCATATGAAATGTTAGCTTGAAAACTTTTTTCTGTGATATTTTTTCTCTCTTACTGCAGTATCTGCTATGTGATTTAGCAAACGTGTTTGCAACTCAGACACTCATTTATTTTTTGTTTCCCCTATTTTTCAGTGGCAAGTTGGAGAGTTAAAGAGACAGAGAGAATGATAGCAATCTGCACAGAACTCCGCAAGGTGAGTGTCTTGTTGCTTCCAGTGTGGTTTCTATGTCACTGGACGTTTAATTATATCTCATTGACCTGTCTTGGTATTTCAGCTAGGAGCAACAGTTGAAGAAGGTCCTGATTACTGTGTGATAACTCCACCTGAGAAATTGAATATCACATCTATAGACACATATGATGACCATAGAATGGCCATGGCATTTTCTCTTGCTGCTTGTGGTGATGTTCCAGTAACCATCAAGGATCCTGGTTGCACCAGGAAAACATTCCCTGACTACTTTGAAGTCCTTGAGAGGTTTACCAAGCAATAAGCATTTTTGTATATTCAGTAGGGAAGAGAGAGAGATAAAACACTCATAAAGCAGTGAGTATATGGCTTGCGTTTGTTTCTATATATTCCAATGTAAGGGCTTGAGATAATTTGTATTGTTGAAATGAGGTTTTGGTTCTGTTGTATCAATGTAATGTAATTCTCAATTCTGACTTGGCATTATTTCTCTGTACGTGGTGTTGTGCATTGCATCTTATCTTTTTATTCCTTATCCCTTGGGATGGACCATGCCTTGTTTGTTTTATTTGAGAGTCAAAGGTACACATTATTTTTTTTGTAACGCCCCGTGTCAACCCGGTTTGTTGCACGTTATGGAATTTGAGCATTAACTAACTGGGTCGGGTGTTAAAGTGTGACCAAGAAAATAGTCTAGTCAAGAAATGAATTTTCTCATGTATTGTTTTAATATGACTATCATATGAAACCAGTTATTTATAATCAAATCATTGCTAACATTTTTAATAACGAAGTTGATAAAATACAGAGGAAATAGTCATTTTAATTGTTGATTGTTGATTTATAAATAAATGAGTCAGATTTTTCACATGATATAATCTTAAAATAAGATATGAGATGACCAATTTCCGATTTAGTTAGCAAATGGGCCTCATCATTCCATGTTTGAGTTCAGAAAAATTATTAATAATTGACATAATGTTACAAGTTTGAGTTGTTTGCAATAAATTGCAATGCTAGTATCATCATATTCATGGCCTCGCGACCAAACGGCCATGTACCACGGTCCCACCTACTTGAGAGCCCTCATATGCAGAATGTTCTTGAGTTTCACTTTTGATGATATTCTTGGCAATTGCAGTTCAAATTATAAGTGGTACACACGGGATATTCACCATGGCTTCATCATACATAGCCTTTATTCACTGAGGCAGGGCCTAGCCTATGCAGGAATTTTGACTATTCTTATGAACGCTGTGTGGCGAAATGTTGCCCTTCCTCATATGATAAAGACTATAGAAATATATTTATTATTGCACATCTATCTAAGGTAGTGTTTGGTTCTGAAGAAATTTTTTTTTACTAGGGAAATGTAATTGATAAAAAAATGGTTGGAAAATGAGTTTGGTAGGAAAATGTAAAAAAAGTTGTTTGGTTGACCGAAATATTACCAGAGAAATTTATTTAAATATGCAAAATCTATGTTCGGGAGAAACTTTGCACCTGTTTTTTCACTTCGCCAGTTATCTCAAAATACCACATCTCAAGTGGTATTCTGTAACAGTGAATTTCATCCAAAAATCAACACAAAATTCATTTTCCCATCTATCCTACTTGCCTAGTATTTTTTGAAAAAACCTGAACCAAACGTGGTATTTTCTAATATCCACTTACACTTTCCCATCAATCCCAAAATAAACCTTCAACCAAACACTACCTACAAATATATTTATTATTGCATATCTTAAAGGTGAAATCCATTACTCCAATCCACATGGCCATCTTCAGCACCACATTATGTGTATTTTACTTCATACATGTGATGCTGTACTAAATATTTTGCAATATACAGTCTGGTTTGATGATAAAATATGTACAAAGTCCAGCTTAAGATAACTCAGATAATTCATGGAAAATGATGATGCATGGATTAAAAGAAAGAAAATCATAGTTGACGTGTATTTCTCTCTCTCTCTCTCACTCAATCATGACTGTTGATTCACTTGTATCCAATGACTCATATAACTAAAAAATTATAGCCATTAAATAAAAGTGAAATCAACAGCCAAGATTAAAAGTGTAACTTACACTGGTGTAAAATTATCATGATTCATATATATATATATGAGTGAGGATATTCTAACTACCAAAAATTCTTACTACTAACTAACAGTTCTCAGATGAGGTGTCAAACTTCAAATTTGACACCGGTGTCAAATGATCTTACCTCATATATATATATATATATATATATATATATATATATATATATATATATATATATATATATATATCTCTTATTCATATTATTTATTCAGATTGCACATGGGAAGACATACTGGGCTCACGAGGGATATTATTTTTTGTTAACATTCATAAATAAGTCCCTTACCTATAAAGAGAAAGAGAAAAACAATAAATAATTAAGAAGAGTACCACTACCTCCTTTTTCCTTTTTAAATTTTATTGTTTTTATTGCTTATTTATCACCATACTAATTTTTAAAAATCTTCATGCCTATTCCTCTTTGGAGAACATGTTTCCTAAATATAATATGAAACATTATACACAACCATTGGTGTTTATTATATGAGTAAGTAATTGCACGAGGATGGAGATGATAGTACACACAAGTTGTGCATATTTTTTTAGTATTACCCCTTGCTTGAGTATCAGTCTCAAATCCTCAAAGACCTTGTGAACGAAGCAATCTTTGGCTTGATCTTGAGATTGTTCTACACTAATCCATACGTGTACTCACATGATACCTTACTACCATAGCATAAATTGCACCATAAGGATTCTTGGGGAGATGCTTTTGTCTTCATTTTCAAGTTTGTTTGCACTTTCAAGTTGCTCATTCAATGCATTCTCTTTCCTTTCTGGACCCCCTCCTCCTCTCTTTCTAACGTGCACACAAACAAGTATACAATAATTAATATATGAGTTTCATTAAACTTATATTTGCACTATCAACTTTTTTCAAGAGTTTCATTAAATTTATAGTTAAACAAGTAGTTATTAAATCATAATATAGAGCCTTGTCATTAACCTCATACTAGGATTATTTCATGCTTTGTTTGTACGTTTTTGTTTTATTGTAAAGTGTTCATACAAACAAGTAGACAACAACTAGTATATGAGTTTCATTAAACTTATATTTGCACTATCAACTTTTTTCAAGAGTTTCATTAAATTTATATTTAAACAAGTAATTATTAAAGCATAATATAGAGCCTTGTCATTAACCTTATACTAGGATTATTTCATGCTTTGTTTGTACGTTTTTGTTTTATTGTAAAGCGTTCATACAAACAAGTAGACAACAATTAGTATATGAGTTTCATTAAACTTACATGTACACAATCATTTTTTTTTTCAAGAGTTTCATTAAATTTATATTTAAACAATTAATTACTAAAACATAACATAGAGCCGTGTCATTAACCTCATACTAGGATTATTTCATGCTTTCTTTGTACGTTTTTGTTTTATTCAAAAGTGTTCATTAAAGTTTGTCTTGTGCTGCCATGATCTTTAGGGAACACCTCACAAAAGCGAAAGTACAACACTAGGCATGGTAAGAAAATGAGGGAAAAAAGAAAAGAAAGAAAGAGAAAAGATATAACAAACTATTCTTTTAACTGTTGGGATGCCTTGAAGGAAGTGTATATAAAGTAAGGAATTTTTCTTTATAATGGTAAATTAGTCTTACCCTTTTAAATGATCCACTGACTTAGTTGAATTCAATGTCAAAGGAAAATCAAGAAGTCTCTTGATGAAAAAGTTACATCAATGTATCAAATACACTTTTGGCCGGCATTTGCTTCCGTTTTAAGAAATGCATGTATTTAATAAGCAACTCAATTGTTTGAAGCCAACTAAATGCAATTAATTTTCCTCCAAAGTTACTTAAGTTCTTGTTGAAAATTAATAAAACTAAGGCCTATTAAGTGAATCTAGCCTTGTTTATTTCATGTCAAGTCTTCAAATTCAACTTCATAGTGTATATCATATTAATTTGGCACGAATTTAGATAGTCTCAACTGTTAAGTTTGGGGTGTGTTTAACTACTCACTTCATTATTACTTTTTTTAGATGCAGTTTTTAGCCCAAATTAGTAAAAAGGTGTTATCTATGGTTTGACTCTCTAGAAACTTAACACAATCTAGATCTCTAATTTCAGAAATCAACAATTGCAGTACAAACTCTATAATTAAAGATTCTCAAACAAATCTCACACTTCTTTTCATGGTGGAGAAACAAGGAGTCCCATAATAGCAAAAGCCTCAAAATCTCAACCGTTGCATTTGCTCATTCAACAAAACCACCCATTATGCTCCTTGGATCTCAAATTTGAGAACTCTCCTCCCCATATAAAAAAAGAAGTTTCCTCCACACAAAAATAACCTTAAACAACGAGTCTATGTAAATTCTTTTTTTTTTTGGGAAAGTGCAAAATTCAAGGCTCTCCAGCCAATCAAATTAGCATATAGCATTTTTTTAGAGAGAGATTAGAAATAGACATCTTTTTACTACCCTCCACTTGTATTCAATTTCTTCAATGAACACCTTTTGTTCTTTCTATGAGGCAAATGGAGGAGAAACTGAACAGATATACAAAATCCCACTCCATTAAATTAACCTTTGAATTCTAGTCCTTGCCTTATACCTTGATTCACATTTGCTCAAAAAGTCTCAACCTCTCTCTTTCCATCTCTCTCTCTCTCTCTCTCTCTCTCTCTCATTCAATTTAACAATTTTTTTTTAAATCAAATCAAATCTCTGAATCCTTTTTTTTCTGAGAAACTATAAACCCAAAAGAGTGGCCTCCACCTCCAACCCATTCCTCCAAGAAACAAGAAGATTCCCATTATACAAAGAAGAAAAAAAAGAGGTTAACCAAAAAAAAAAAAAAAAAAAGGCACCCAACTCACCAAAACCCTCACTTTTTTTTTTTTTAAAAAAAATTCTTTTTTTTTTCTTTGATTCTCCCCTTCATCACTTTCCTCACATCTAACAAAAATACCACCATTCTATTAACACTTGCAGCATGTCCAATTTCTGAGAGAAACCCTAATATCCAACGCGAATTTGGGGGAACCTAGAAAACAAGCCGAGGGACTGAAATTGCCGCGACATTTCGACGAAAACAAGGAAGTAGAATATTGGGCATCCACAAAAATCCGAGATTTTCCCGAGAAAATGTCTCAGCTGAAGCAAATGTCGCACATCGATAGTGCCCCATCAACACCGGGGAAGTTCAAGATGGAGAAAAATTCGTACTTCAACCGTGTCCGGTGGCACACTTCGGTTGCCAAGCTCACCCTTTGGTCCTTCGTCTTCTTGGCGGCGATCTTGATCTTCTTTTTCCGGTCGCCGGCGACCTCTCCGATTCCGGCGGACCCATCCCGGCGATCCCTGAGGACCTACAGTTGGGGAGGTTCGGCTTGGGAGAAGCGGGTCCGGTCCTCGGCCCGGGTCCGGTCCAGAAACGGGTTCTCCGTTCTGGTGACCGGAGCCGCCGGGTTTGTTGGGACCCATGTCTCCGCCGCCCTGAAACGCCGTGGTGATGGGGTTGTTGGCATTGACAATTTCAATGATTATTATGACCCTTCATTGAAGCGTGCAAGGCAAGGCCTTTTGGAAAGAAGTGGGGTGTACATTGTGGAAGGTGATATCAATGATGATGCACTTCTTAGGAAGCTATTTGAGGTTGTGGCTTTTACACATGTGATGCATCTTGCTGCTCAAGCTGGTGTGAGGTATGCTATGGAGAATCCTGGTTCTTATGTGCATAGTAACATTGCTGGTTTTGTGAATTTGCTTGAGGTTTGTAAGTCTGTGAATCCACAACCTGCAATTGTGTGGGCTTCTTCAAGTTCAGTTTATGGATTGAACACTAAGGTTCCATTTTCTGAGAAGGATAGGACTGATCAACCTGCTAGTTTGTATGCTGCTACAAAGAAAGCTGGTGAAGAGATTGCTCACACTTATAACCATATATATGGCCTTTCATTGACTGGTTTAAGGTTTTTCACTGTTTATGGACCTTGGGGTAGGCCTGATATGGCATACTTCTTTTTCACAAGGGATATTTTGAAGGGGAAGGCGATACCAATCTTTGAGGCGGCGAATCATGGAACAGTTGCTAGGGATTTTACTTACATTGATGACATTGTGAGGGGTTGTTTGGGTGCGTTGGATACTGCAGAGAAGAGCACTGGCAGTGGTGGGAAGAAGAGGGGACCGGCTCAGTTGAGGGTGTTCAATTTGGGGAATACTTCGCCTGTCCCAGTTAGTGAACTTGTGAGTATTTTGGAGAGGCTCTTGAAGGTTAAGGCTAAGAGGAACATAATGAGATTGCCGCGAAATGGGGATGTGCAGTTTACTCATGCTAACATTAGCTATGCCCAGAGAGAGCTTGGGTATAAGCCAACCACGGATCTATCGAATGGTTTGAAGAAATTCGTGCGGTGGTACCTGAATTACTATTCTGGTGGGAAGAAAGCTGTTGAGTAACAGATTCTTTTTAACTAAGTGATACGATCTTTGAATTCTTGTTCATTATTATGATTCTTGTGATTGTTCCCTATCATTTTCTCTGTTTGTTGCAAGATCACCATGCTTCATGCGTGTCAAAGATGCCATATTAGGAGAAACCTTATTTCCTGCACTGAGCAAGTTTTGTTGTTGGTGGAGATTAATTCCTGGGCACCTATTTACAGTGTCAAAGAAAACATCATATTCTTCTCTTTTATTCTTTTTCCCTGAATGTAATTGCTGTAGTTTTAGAAATGTAGCATTTACTACCGATAGAGCATATGCTGATTGGTGGCAGTGTATAATTGTTAAGAAAATTTAGTAAAAGCACACAATAGTTTGATTTCCAGTTTTTGGACTGAATGAATCAATAAGACATGTATTTTATTTGCATATGTAATATTTAAGCTATAAATGGACTCCTGTATTAATACTTTTGTTCTGTGCTCAACTCTACTACTTTCTAAGTTGCTGTTGCTAGCATTTTGGAGGTGGCTCTGTGGCACTGGCACCAGGAACCCTTTCTCCTGAAACAGCCAGCCTGCATTATGTTTTTGTCAGTAGATTATTAGAAAGATCTTCATGTTACTGCAGATACTTGTTTTTATTACTAGATTAATGTTTCATAAGATATAAGTTAATAGTATTTGTAAAGAAGCATTGACTGCTTGCTTCTGATGCTTTATTACCATTTGAAGGGATCAACTTTTGAAATAACTTCAGGGATTAACTTGCAATTTTATAGCATTTTAATCTCTTTTTGTTTTAATATTTTTGATCCCTTGTTCATAACATTTTTTATTCTTATTTTTTGCTTGTAGCATCATGTTTTTGTCCACAAGTAACAATTATATTATATACAAGTATCTGTGGAGTCTTTCTGTTAAAGGACATTCCCATACTTCATTTAGGCACTTTTGCAATCTATTCGGAATATAAATTTTGTTGTTTGTAATATTAATCTTTCTAACTTTCTTTCCATTTCCTTTCTATATGGATTCCAAGTTTGGCCCATTTTTTATATGGAACAATTTACTTTTGGGAATGGGAGAATGATAAAGAGTGAACGAAGAGTTTAATCTTGGAGTGATTGTGTTGGTATGAGATATTACTTCCAAACTTTCACTGTTTAAATGGATTTTTGAAAATCACCTTTACTTTTGTTTACATTTATGCATGATAAATTTGCCATTCATGCGAGTTTTGAAGACCTTTTGGTAAAAGCAATGAGGAGGTTTCTACTTTCTGCAGATATTAAGCATGTCATTCTTATCCTTAATAGGTGAGTAATTTTGAATATTTGATTGTCATGAAGATTGAATTAATGAAGTTGGACCTTGCATGTTATCAATTGCTGTACTGTCCCATACGATAAACTGAGAGGCTTGGGATCAAGATTAGATTAGGGTATAAATTGATTGAAATATGTGGCAATGTAAATTAAGAAAATAGACTTATGTCATAATGAATCTTGCCTTAGGTATCAGTTAAGCAAATGAATGTTTCTGGCAGGTTTGGATATCCTCTATTATATTCCATTGCTGTATTAGATTTATAAACCTACTTTAGTTTGTTATACACTTTGCCACTACAGCATTAAGTGTTATATGGTTGCATTTAATTTTTCAAGATTTGAATTAACATCTTGCTGCTTAAGAAGAAAGATAGGGTTATCATCTATCTGCCTTAGTATAATTTGCCGAACACTAATGATTATATCTGATTCCAATCCTTGTGTTTCCAGTGAACTGAGATCATGAGAATGCTACCTATCTCATAATGAACCAAGTCATGAAAATGCTTACTGGTACAACATGAAGATTAACATTTTCATTTTCATTTTGTTTTCTTTGAGAGTGAATTCTTTCAGGTTTTGCTGCAGCACCAGCAACAACCATACCTGATATTTCCAAGCTGGTGAAATGTAATTGAGGTTGCAAGACAAGAACAATTTTTCACCTAAATCTCTTTTTTTGTCATTTTGGTTTTCTTTCCATTCTTTCCTAATAGAAGAAATGCATGTTTACATAACTGCATTTACAACTACATAAATGACTCAACCCAAGTTCAACATGTGACAGCAAAAGCTAAACAATCTTTTTAAGAATTTGGTAGACAATAAGCTATCATGGTGTTTGGTGGTTAGGTGGAAAATGTGGCTTCACAATTGTTGAATAAAGTGACCAAATAGCATTGAGAAGCTTATTCATTCTCTTTACACTTGTAAACATTATTGTGTGCCTTAATCTTGACTCTCGGTGCATTTTGTTGTCAAGAGCTTTAGAAGATAAGTAATGACGTGCAGGCTGTTAAATTCCATGTTGGGTTCCACATGGTATTGCGTGTTTCAACTTTCAATTACACGTGCTTTTTATGGGGACAAAAACAAGAGAAGTGTTATTTTCACAAACTTTTTTTTACAAACTTACAAATTACACTATATCTGACTGGTAAGACTTCACTCAAGAGTCTTACACTCTTACCGGTAAGACAATGTGTAGTTTATAAATAAAAAATTTGTAAATATAAGCTTCCCAAAAAGCAAATGCACATTCATAGTTATGCTTTTGTTCTTTTCACTATAAACACCACATTATTTTCTGAACAGCTAGTCTAAATGTTCTGAGCATGGTGGCCCTAGCTGCGTTAAACCAACCACCATCAACGTGGAAGTAAATCAACCCTCCAAAATAACTAAGTTGGGTGGTTGAGGTTGGTGGAAATGGAAGCATGGTTAGAAGTTATAAGTTAAGTTAGGAGTATTTAAAAAAATATTAATACAACATCTAGCACAAAGAATAAGGTGAATTTTTTTTTAGGGAAACATTAAGATCAAATTATTACTAAGTTTCAACAACACTAGAATAGGTGTATACATACTTAAAACACCTTGATGCATGTTGTCAAAACTCTTATAGAATTGAGTAGTGACCAGTTCGAGATGGATAGACTCGGTTGCTGTGTTGAATTTGGTCTCTTTTTAGAGGATCTGTATATGAGGATATCAATCTTTAACCCTAAATCCTTCAAAATGCATGTGTTGTGCAGTACAATTATTGTCAAGTGATCATATTTTGAATCATGGGGATAAGGACAAGCATATACAAGGATACTGGGAAGTTGCAGTAGGAAAAGAGATTAGAATACCGTGGTATGAACGTTTTGTCACGTAGTAAAAGTAGGTCAAGCAAAGGATCAAGTAGATTTTATGTTTACATAAAAATGTGTTATAAGAAACTTGTAATTAAAAAAATAACTTGAAAAAAGTGGAAAGTGAGAAGAGGTTGAAAGTGAATTGCATTTATTTTGAATAATTTCGTTATAAATATTATTATTTTTTAAGAAAAATGCCAGCATATCTTTGATATTATGGGAGTATATATTTATTTACTAAAAAAAGGAAAAGGTGGGACGTAGGTGTCAATAACTATAAAATGATGGGTAAGATGAGAAAAATTGGTTATATTTTTTTTTTTTAATTTAATAAAAGATTTACTCAATCTTTAATATTATAGGAATACCAAAAATATTTTCCATTATTAGAGATGGAGAGAAAAGGAACAATGCAAAAGGAAGTGCAATCAAACTACGCGTTCTCGGAAAATCCTGGGAAACTGAATTTTTCTAAATTTGAAATTTTTGGATATTATCATAAACTGAATGCAAAAATTATATTTTTGAAAATCGAGATTCCCGGACAAAAAAAAATTTCTCATGTACCAAACGCTAGCATTTGGTGGAAGGGAATTCTAACCCACTTCAATTTTTTTTTTAATTAAAACATTATTTAAGTTTTAATATAATGTACAAGAATAGTTTAAGGGTAAAGGATTTCTCCAGTGAATGGAGATAATTATCTCCGGTAAGCCCAAAACGAGGTTTGGGACGGAAATCAATGTATTTTTGTAATTATAATATATTGCAAGGTTATATTGGTCTTTATTATTATAATTTTTTAATCTTATAACCCAAAACGACATCGTTTTGAGCTCACTGAAGATAACTTTATTTCCGGTGACTGGAGAAATACTTTTACCATAGTGGAAAAAAAGTTTATCCTTTTAAAGGATATAACTTTGTGTCATTTTTAAATCTAATCGTTGATTTCCGTCAATCAACGGTTAAGATTTATTGGATCAAATTTATTAATTAATTAATAGTTTACAATAAAACCCAATAAATCCTAACTGTTGATTGACGGAAATCAACGATTAGATTTAAAAATGACACAAAGTTAAATCCTTTGAAAGGACAAATATTTTTCCCATAGTTTAATATACATTTTTATAGTTAAATCCCTTATGTTTAGGAAGTGTGACATTTGCGAAAAGAAATTTTTTTATAAAGTCATTAGGATTAGTTTAATGATGGTGATAAATTTGAATAATTTATATGAGATTACATATTCGATTCTTAGTATCATCATTGTATAAATTTTTTTTCCTTATCCCATTTAATAAAGGACATGCATTAATTCCCTTAGCAACAAAATTAAAATATCAAGCTTTTGAATACCATTATTCTATGAAGCACCGACACTTCAAAAACCCTGACGTGTCGTGTCCGACACTCTCGGACACTCCGACACTCCAACACAAGTTATAGAAATTCAAAAAAAGGTTTAAAGGTTACATTGCGTTGAGTTTTTAGTTCCAACTATTAGATTCGTTGGATTACGATTACTATTTTATTGAGTTTAATATAAATATTTGGGATATCTTATGTTTTTTTGCAAAATTTATGAATATTATAAGTTTAGATTCATTTTTTTATTAAATTATTGAATATTAAATATAATATACACCACATAAATTAAAAATATTATTTAATATCAAAACGTGTCCTAACGTGTCGGAATCTAACTTTTTTTAGAATTAACGTGTCGGAGTGTCGTGTCGTATCGGTGCTACATAGTTATTATTACCTTCCCAACTTTAACATTGCAATCAAGATAAAATTGTTTATTAGAAGGAGTTGTATAATATTTTATATCTAAACAGTATTTACTTTATGGGTTTTATAAGAGTTATGTTGTAGGAAAAATGATTGTGTAATGTTATAGAGATTCGTTTTACGTGCCTTAATTTTTTATTTATTTTTTTGTTTTAAAAAATATGGGCCCCACAAAATATTGTGAGGGTAGGAAAGTTTGTTATGTTATGTTAAAGGATAAAACGAAAACCCTTACTTTATATCGTTGCAACAAAACCAATTATGTTAAGTAAATTTAAAATATCACCTATAAACGTAAATGGATTATTCTAATATTAATTCTTTTATGATAAATTAATTTGATTAAAAAGTAAAACAAGAGGACCCTTACCATATTTGAATTCCAATTACAAGAAAAATGAGTCCACAATATAATGGTGTCAATTAGGAGTGTTAACGGGCCGAGCCGAGCCGAGCTTTGATCTTAAAAGGCTAAGCCTGCGTTTAAATGTGTCAGCCTGATCAAGCCTGTTACCTGTTATGAATATAATTTCAGCCTGTGGCCTGTCTTATTTACAAAAAATAAAAGCCTAGTTTAGCCTGTTTAAAAAAAATAAGACAACAAAAATTTATCCAAACAAAATATACAATCAACAGCACTAGTAATTCCATAAATATTCATAAATTTAATGTATATCCAAACAGCATAATATAAAACAAAATCATTCAAAAAGTATGTTTGATTAATAAAATGGGATGAAATAGATTAAGAAGAGAGAGAGGTCTATCACAAGTAGTATAAAAAATATAAAATAAAAATAAAAATTAATATATTAGGCCAGCCTGAGAGGCTCTAAGGCCGAGCTTTTGAATTTAAGCTTGAGGTCAGTTTATTAAACGAGCTTTTATACAATTCCAAGCTTTGTTCCAACAATCAATTTTAGACATGTAAGTTCAGACCTTCACGAGCCGAGCCAAAGGCCCCTGGCTCGTTTAGCACCCCTAGTGTCAATGTTTCAAAAAATTAGAGAGTTTAGGGAATGAAAAGAGAAAATGTCCATTGCTCAATCATTTGATTGTGGAAAAATGAAAATGGTCTTAGGAGAATTATCCCATAGTGTTGGAACCGAATTAGTTGAATAATTGATGAACCGGTGATATATATATATATATATATATATATATATATATATATATATATATATAAATATATTTCTGCAGTTACTGCAGATAAGTTATCTGCATTTATTCCCAAAACGATGTCGTTTTGGTATTGAAGTTCTAAAAAATTATAAATATAAAGACTATTATAACCCTGAAATAAATCATAATTACAAAAACACCATGATTTCTGCCCCAAAACGACATCGTATGGGGTTTACTGCAGAAAAAACGAACCTATATATATATATATATATATATATATATATATATATATATATATATATATATATAGAGGGTTATATTGACAATTTTTTTTACAAACTACACTATGTCTGACCGGTAAGACTCTACTCAAGAGTGTCTTACCGGTCAGACATAGTATAGCTTGTAAACAAAAAATTTATAAATATAACCTTCCCTTATATATATATATATATATATATATATATATATATATATATATATGGGGAAGGATATTGTGACAACCAAGTTGTGTTACTACCAAGTGACTACCAATCAATTTCACCGTTATATCGATTATGTTGATCCAACGGTTATATTTATTTCCATCTTTGTATGGTCATGATTTTCCAAATTTATTACTTTATATTTATTTTCACCTTTGTATGATTATGATTTCTCATATTTAATGCTTTCACTTTAGATATGGGGAATCATGACCATACAAAGATGTAAATAAATATAACCGTTGGATCAACATAATCGATCTAACGGTGAGATTGATTGGTAGTCACTTGGTAGTAACACAACTTGGTTGTTACAATATTCTTCCCCTATATATATATATATAGGGGACGATTATACTTACCACCAAGTAAGTTTACCACCCTTACAACCAATCTCATCACCGTTAGATTAGAATTAAATCTAACGGTTCATAATTATCTCTTATAATCTTAATTTTTACTCTCTTATCCTCTTTTCGTCTCTCTCTAGGTTTGCGATCTGCACATCTCTCTCTAAGTTTGGGAATCACCTCTCTCATCCTTTCTTCATCGTTATAGCGATTTAATCTTCAGTTTCAATAAAAATATCTCACCAAGACAAATAATTGGACCGTGAATTAATTTTTTCTTCATCGTCTTTTTCCTTCGTCGCTGATCGCAATTCTTTTTAAAGCTTTCATCCACATGTACATTATTTGATAAACAATTCTTCCATCGTTGCTGATTCGTAATTCTTCCATTACTTTTTTTTATAAACAATTCTTCCATTACTTTAACAATTCATTCTTTATTAAAAATTCATTACTTTATAGCAAATGGGTAATAGTTGGGTCGTGAGAGGATAAAAAAGGTTGGGTGCTGTACGTGAGACATGAGGTCGATGAAGAGAGGATGAAGCAATCTCTGTAACGATGGTAAAAAGAGATCGTGTGCTGTATGATGGTAAAAAGGATCAAAAAAGGTTAATTTATCCATGTACAATCTCTGTAACGATGAAGAGAGGATGAGAGAGGTGATTATCAAACCTAGAAAGAGATATGCAAATCGCAAACCTAGAGAGAGACGAAGAGGGGATGACAGAGTAAAAATTAGGATTATAAGAGGTAATTATGAACCGTTAGATTTAATTTTAATCTAACTGTGATGAGATTGGTTGTAAGGGGGATAAACTTACTTAGTGGTAAGTATTACCGTCCCCATATATATATATATATATATATATATGGGTAAGGATCCTTTGACACCGGTGTCAAATTTAAAGTTTGACACCATATATATATATATATATATATAGGGGTAGGATCATTTGACACCGGTGTCAAATTTAAAGTTTGTCACCTCGTCTTAGAGCCGTTAGATCGAAAAAGATCAATGGTGTCACATGTTTACAAATCAGAGTCGTTGATCTTTTTTAATCTAACCGCTCTCAAATGAGGTGTCAAACTTTAAATTTGACACCGGTGTCAAAAGATCCTACCCTTATATATATATATATATATATCATGGGAAATCTTAGTGTAGATATTTTTGTCAGCCTTATAAACTTCAAATAAGCAAGTGGCTTGTGTCAGCAGACAGAGCTATATATGTATTCACAAAAAGTGACAATTCACATAAAGTCTGAGGTACAATTAATAGGAAATCTAACAGCTTCAGGAGTTGTTAGCTAGCTGGAACATGTGTTTGGAGTATGAAAAACATTGGAATTTTGTTCTTTCAAATTATTATTGACTAAGCATAGATTGCATTCACACAAGGATAAGGACCAAGCCTTGACAGAGATCTTGCCATTGAAAAAAAGCAGCACAAAATGGTTATTATCATTCCTTGTTTGTGCTTTGTTTCTCTCTGGCAAAACAATTAGCTTGAGTTCCCTTCTTTGTACTATTCTTTTATATGTAATGATGTCCCAATTGACTATATGACTAAGAGAGTATATGTAAATACACACACACCAAGCAAATATTAAATTTCTATTTTCTTTAAATGCACCAAGAAATTTTTTGTTTGGGCTGTAAATACAAGAATGAGTCTGATAGGAACTGGATCAGATATCAGAGATAGTGCACACAACACCAGAAAGATGGCCCAGAAGAACTGGATTTTCAGTATTATTTTAGTAATGGAAAAGGACAATTACACATAGAAATCAGAATAGTGAAGAAATAAAGAAAGAGTACGTGACACACTAAACACTCGAAGATCCTAATTACAAAAACTGGTTCAGCTAAAATGATTCAGCAATAAAAGAGGTGTGGACTTTTGTTAACTGTAAAGAAACATGAACTATAATATGGGCTGACTAAAACAAGAACTAAAATAAGCTATTATATTTTCATGGCAATCAAAATTGCTCTTTCTAGTCTTTTTACTTTTGGTTTGGTTAGGCTCTTTTTTTGTTCGTAACTAATCTAAAACCTGGCACAAGCAAAAAAAAAATTCCACATAACAAGAACTATAATTACTACAATAGAAGAAAAAACGGAAAATATTATTGCAGCATAACACCCACAATTTTGATAAATTTGTCTATTGAAAGTAAACTGAGAAGGCCTAGAAATTATTAATACAAACTAAAGGGCAACAGACCAGTTTGCATTGTTCTAGTATTTAATTAAGGAAAATTGCTCATTCATCCTTAAAATCCAAAATATTACTACCCTTAGTTTTTGCCTACAAGATTTCTTTCTTGATGATACTCAACAGAAAGAAGATATACCTCGAGGCATCAACTGAATGATTGTAATTTCACCAAAAAGCAAGGGAAGTGGCTGTTTGGAACAAGAGAGTTCCTGAGCCACATGTTGCATTGATGGTCTGGACTTTGGTTTGGAACACAAACATGCCAATGCTAGTGTTACCACAAGCACTATATCTTGCTCATCCTTTGGAGAGAAAGGAAGGGGAAGACGTGAGTCCAAGAGATCCTTCAACAACATATTCTGAGTAGATAAGTTTGATAAAGATGAAATTAGCTCTCCTGGATGTCTTCCCATTAATGTTTCCAATGCTACCACTCCAAAACTGTACACATCACATTTTTCTGTCACAGTCAATGTGTAGGCAAGCTCTGTAATGGACCAAAAAATCTAGAAAGTTAACTTATTATATCACATAACCAGATCAATTTAGAGAAGTTGTAAATATATTTTCTTATTTAAAATAAAAAAAATTACCTGGGGCAACATATCCATATGTGCCAACCGCTATGGTTTGATTTGAAGAATCTGGAGCAAGGAGTCTAGCTGTGCCAAAATCTGAGACAAAAGCCTCCAATTGTGAATTCAACAAAACATTGCTACTTGTTACATCCCGATGAACAATTGGTTGAGTACAATCATGATGCATGTAGGACAAAGCATGTGCAATTCCTCTAATGATATTCACCCTCTTACTCCAATTCAACCCCTCAGCTTCCACATCATTGCTTATAAGATATAATAAGCTACCTCTTTCCATGTATTGATAGATCAAAAACATGCATCGACTGTGGAGGCAAAAGCCATAAAGCTTTACAATGTTTCTGTGACGGATTTCTGTTAACACCTTGACCTCATTGCGAAAACTCTTGTCAAAAGATGGATTTTGAGATTCCATTTGGTGAAGTTTCTTCAATGCAACAATTTTGCCACTCGGCAACTGTGCTCTATAGACACTGCCATATGCACCAGTTCCAATGCAGTGCTTGATGTGAAAGTCCTCAGTTGCTTCAATAATGTCTTCAAATGCAATTTTACCATCATAGTTCCATATAGAAAACAAGTCTCCATTCTTTGTTGATCTTCCTTCAAATTTGATCTTAGAAGTACATCTTGTGAAATATAATGTTGAAAGAAGTACAAGAATAATGAAACAAATGATAGGAAGAGAAATTAGAATGAAAGGCTTAGCTTTACTAGTGCGATGATTGGTTTGGTGGATAGAATGACAGAATGTGAAATCTGGTGTATTGTAACTGATTAATGAGTCTTCCTTGAAATAACAATAGTTTGGTGATTGTGACTCAAAATCAAGATCTCTTGAAAAGTCAAAGGAATTGTATGAAAGGTTTATATACTCTAAAAAAGCAAGCTCCTTGTATAGTGTACCAGTGAGATTATTATAACTAAGATCCAACTTGTCTACCACAGAATTTGGTCCCAAAATAAATGGAATCTCACCCTTAAGAAAATTGTGGCTAAGGTTAAGGGTAACAACACAACAACCAATTTGGGGAGGAATGCTTCCACTCAACAAGTTGTAGCTTAAATCCATTGTTGTAGGAAAGGGACAATTCAGGATAGGAGATGGGATAGACCCTATAAGGTTGTTGTGGGAAAGGTCTAGATCCCAAAGTCTGGTGGCTTTCACAATCTCTGATGGTATTGAACCATACGACTGATTTGATGAAAGATGCAGAGAATGCATTTCGGTCATTTGAAAAAGATTTGGAGGTATAACACCAGAGATGTTATTATTCGAAAGATATAACTCCTCTAAATTGGACAAATTCCCTAGTTCTACTGGTATGAGGCCTTCAATTTGGTTAGAATTAATGGAGAGATAGACCAAAGATTCTAGTTGACCCAAAGTATAAGGGATTGAACCAGTGAATGAATTATTTGAAAGATGCAATTCCTCTAAGTTGGACAAATTTCCTAGTTCAACTGGTATGCGACCTTCAATTTGGTTAGAATCGAGGGAGAGATAGACCAAATTCTTCAATTGACACAAAGTATAAGGGATTGAACCAGTGAGTGAATTATTTGAAAGGTATAATCCCCTTAAATTGGACAAATTCCTTAGTTCTACTGGTATGGAGCTTTCAATTCGGTTAGAATCAAGGGAGAGATGGACTAAATTCTTCAATTGACCCAAAGTATAAGGGATTGAACCAATGAGTGAATTTTTTGAAAAGTATAGTCCCCTTAAATTGGACAAATTTCCTAGCTCTACTGGTATTGGACCTTCAATTTGGTTAGAACTAAGGGAAAGATCAGTCAAATTCCCTAATTGAACCAAAGTAGAAGGGATTGTACCATTAAGTAAATTATTTGAAAGATATAATCCCTCTAAATTGGATAAATTCCCTAATTCTTCTGGTATGGTACCTTCAATATGGTTATTAGAAACATCAAGCGACTCAAGTTGAGTGAGATTTGAAAGTGCTTTAGGCAACTTACCTTGAAGGCTATTGTAAGAGAGGTCAATATATGAAAGCTTCGTAAGTGTGCCTATTTCTGTGGGGATAATTCCTGTAAGTCCCAACCCAGTAAGATCTATACGGACTAAATTGGTGAAGGCAGTTAACTTCAAGTTCTGAAACCGCTGCAATTCTGGTGGAGGAGTTTTCAATGCTGAAATCTTTGTAATGCTTCCAGCTTCATTACACGTGATACCTGTCCAATTACAATGGTTTGATATGTTTCGGTCATGATTCCACCAACCACTCTGGAGCAAAGCTGCTTGTTCTTGATTTTTGTTTGAGGAACTAGAAGAAGCTGTCATCCTGTTAGCAATAACAGCTGGTATGAACAAAACATTAGAGGCAATACCAAATATAAGTGCCAGAACTAGTAAACTAAAGACAAAATATGCCATGTTTAATTCAAATTCAAACGGCTTCAATTATTGTTGAACTTTTTATAATGCTATTGTATTGCCCTGAGACTATATATATATACGGGAAATATAAGAATCATGTTGCAGGAATGACACTGTTCATTCCTGCAACAAGGATACGGCGTCGCGTCGTATCCTGACTTTGGTCTGACTTTTTTTTTTAAGCGTGGGACCCACACTTGATTTGTGTGTAGGAAAGTGTTCTTGTCATGTCAAATGACAAAAAGGGAACCCTATATATATATATATATATATATATATATATATATATATATATCTATTAATGACAGTGGCCAGTAGCGTGCACAACACGAGAATATCTTCAATGCTACCAATGCATTATTGAGTTTTCAGTGTATCTTCCACTTAGAATGTGACACAAGTCATAATTTTATCAAATCATTAATAAGTAATTTATTTTAATATTAGTTGAAAGAGTGATTTGATTAAAAGTAAGACACGTGTGTCACATTGTGAGGGAAAGATGCCTTGAAGATATTCTCGCCCAACAAATGGACTTACAAAGACGCGCTTTTGAACAAGGAATTCTGAAATTATTGGTTGAAGATGTGCAAATGGAATCTGTATGAGAAGGTGATGGGTTGACTCTGACTGATATACTGCCGTTTCAACTACTCAACTAAGATATTGTATCTTGCTAACAGAACTCCAACAAAACACCTTATTTCACATTACTACACATTATACACTAATTACTAACTAACTACTTCACGTAACATTGGGTTATATATTTTAATCCATCAATCCAAGACATATCCCGTATGTAGGTGAATTAGGGGCTAATCAACAGTCCAGTTATTTTCTTTTAAAAATATTAGATTGGTCATTTTATATAGCCTGTTTAACTAGAACTAGAGAAGAAATGACTACACTCTGCAGAAACACGTACATAGTCAGGTATGGAGTACTAAACACATTATTTTCAGCCAACTATGGAATGATATTTTAAACATCCTGCTATAGATCAAATTGGTCATATTTTAAATCTCTGTAATGCTTCCATCTTTATCATACGTGATACCATTCCATTTTCTATGATGGTAGTGGTAGCCGGAAGGAACAAGACATAAGAGGCCATACAAAAGATATGTGCCACTAGTACTACTAGTAAATTGCAACCAAAGATTGCCATGCTTAATTCAAATTCAAACGGCTTCAATCACTCATGAACTTATTATAATTCTATTGTATTGGCCCTAGCACTTGATGTGTAATCTACACTTTCAATTTTGTAAATTTATCTTATTTATATCTGACCTATATAATAAATTAGAACCGTTAAATATAAATTAAGGCAAGTTATTCTTATATCAGTGTAGAAATAAAAGATCTTACACCCATTCTTGGTTGTTGACCCATTTCTATTTAATGACTCACATAACTTAAAAATTAAAACTATTAAATAAAGGTGAAATCAACTTTAAGATAAAAAATATAACTAACACTGAACCGATATAAAATAATTAACTCATATTGACTTATTATTTCTCTAATTGACATATGAGATAAAATTATTTCCCGAAATGCAAAACAGAAATAGTATTTCTGAAATATCTTTAATTTTTTCCCCAAATCCCATGATGTTATTTTGAGGTTTTTCCATGTATATAAATGGCTATGGGGAAATTACGAGTTCAATTTGGAATATTGTTTCAACTTTTTTCGGTGAGAGTAACATCTTGAGGACTATTGGAGTTCCAAAGACACGGTTTTGAACAGAGGAATTCTAAAATTATTGGTTGAAGATAGAATGAACGTGTGAGACAAGCACATTGAATCTACATCAAGTGACTTGTGAGCATGGTTGTTGAATCGCAATACGTATCGTGAATCGTTCGGCTGCTTTTTTGTATCGTGAATCGTGAATCGTATCGAATCGTAAGATTCAGAAACAAATTAAAAATAACTTAAAAATATATAATATCATATAAATCCAAATTAAAAAAAAAATCTAAATACCAAAATCCATAAGTAACCAAATCTAAAACCAGTTATTTCTCATATTCATTAAATTTCAGGACTAATATTATCACTATTATCACTATCAAGATCTAGTATTGGCATATCTAGTCTTTCATCTTCTCCATTAGTAGAGTCATCTGACTCATCTCCCATATCTTGTTCAATAATTTGAGATCCTTTTCTGTTATCATTCCTGTTGACATCCTCTTGTATTAAGATGCCTTTGCCTTTATCATTCCTATCATCTTGAAGATTTCGAGGACCTAAAAAAAAAAATATACATAATGTAAATAAATATATTTGATAAGGTGTTTGATTAAAAGAAATATTATATATGCAAATATACCTCTTTTTCTCTTTTTGCTTTGGTCTCCTTCATCAACGTTGAAGCACTCATGAACATCCATACAAGATTCCTCATCCATTAGGCAAGGCTCCTCTTGCTCAGTAATCCATTCCTCGTCAGAATCTAAATCTGATAAGCAGATAGGATCATATGTGTCTCCTTTTCCCTCCCTTTGTTTTTGCCTAATTTCAAGTTGAAGGTTGTATTTAACAAACACAAGAGCATTCAACCTTTGTTGCTCTAAACGGTTTCTTCTCTTAGAGTGAATTGGATCAAACACACTCCAATTTCTCTCGCACCTTGTAGCACTGCAAGTGAGGCTTAGGATACGAATAGCTATTGTTTGCAGCTCTTTGCATTCGTCTCCAAAACTATTCCACCATAAAGCTAGCAAAAAAAAATATAATTGATAAATAAATATTTGGTTAATGACTTAATTTTTAATTTTAAAAATATCAAAACATAATTTAATCAATACACAAAATTCGATGATTACCAGGTTGCTTACTAGCTCTAGTTGCAATTGCTAAACTATTTCCAAAGAGTCTTTCAGCCCTGTCAAATTTCTCAATTTGGGAATCAATTGTGATCCTTGTTTCAATATCAGGACACATCTTCTCCAATGTCTTCCACAAGCCAGTTTTAACCTCACGATCTGGGTTGAACTTTGTGTCATAGTGGAACCTATATAATTATTATAAATTTAGAATAAGACTTAATAATAAATCAAATATAAAATATAAAGAATTTTATATAAATAAATTTTATAAAAAAAAAATACTTACTTCGGATTAAGAAAATAGGTGGCTGCATGAACAGGCCTATGAAGTTGTAAATCCCAACGCTTGTCAATGATTTCCCAAACATCCTTATATCTCTTTTCCTCATGATTAAAACTCTTTGCTATTTCTTCCTTTGCTCTATCCATAGCCTCATAAATGTATCCCATTGCAGGTTTTGAATCACCATCCACAAGTCTAAGAACTTTCACAAGAGGAGTCACAATTTTCAAGCAATAATGTATTGATTTCCAAAACCTTTTATCAGCCAAAACAACATTTTTTGCAAATTTGGCTTCCGGCCTAGAGCAATAAGCACTATTAACCCATTTTTCCATATGTAAACATAGATCGAAGTGCAGTCTTTTGTTTCAAAATTGACTGCATTGTCAAATATGATGTAGCAAACCTTGTTATTGCAGGCCTAGCTAACTCTCTACCTTTGGAAAAGGTTCTATACAAATTCAACACCCATGTGTGCCTATAAATGAAAGTTGTAATTTTTTTTGCTTTCCAAATGGTATTATAGAACACTGTAATGCCACCAATATCTTCCAAAATCAAATTAAGACAGTGGGCTGCATAGGGTGACCAAAAGAGTTGCTTTCTTTTATCCATCAACTTTTGTCCAGCAGATACAAGGGCTGCAGCACTATCTGTCACTACTTGAACGACATTCTCTTCTCCAATTTCCATCACCATCTCATCAAGTAATTCAAACATTTTTTCAGCATCTTTAATAAAGCTGCTTGTATCAACAGATTTTATAAAAACAGTCCCTCTAGGACTATTAACAAGAAAATTAGTAAGAGATCTACCCTTTCCATCAGTCCATCCATCTGACATCAATGTACAACCAGTTTTCTTCCATTCCAACTTATATTTATCCAAACTAGTATGGACAAGATCAACTTCTTTCTTCAAATATGACACCCTCACTTCATGATAAGTTGGTGGTTTTAAGCCTCTACCATATTCACTAATAGACTTCACCATATTAATAAATACTGGACTCTTAACTAAATTAAATGGCAATGCATTGCCATATATGCATCTACAAATATCTCGAACCACCAAATCTCTATCATTCACCATTGAATTTATAGTTTGTTGTTTCATAGCAGATGAGCCACTTCCACTTTTTCCTTTTATCATAAAACTATCCATGCTCCCTTTTTTTGTGAATCTTTATCATCGAAGCACTCTAGTTCATCATCATCTCTTGCATCCTCTAATATTTTTTTAAATAGATCCCTTATCTCTTCCGGCACTTGTTGGCATGGAGCAACTTCTTTGTGTGTTCCAGCTAAATGGTGCTTCATTCTAAATGCTCCTCCCCACATTGTTTTGGGACAATAGTTACATTTAACATTCAACCTATTCGCAAGGGATTTACAATGATCCCAAGTTATATCCTTCAGTTTTTGGGATTTCTTCTTTGGAGTCATTTTTATTATTTCTGTTACTGTAAAAGAGAGAGAAAAAAAATCAAAGGCAAAAATATTAGGTAGGTCCGTAGGTGTCTTCAGCTAATGCACTAATACTCAATTGAATTTATTCACTATTTAAATGAAAAAGGAAATAGCACTTTCATAGGCAGCACTAGGCAATAACACTTTCATTTCAGCAATAGGCAATAGCACTTTCAATTTCAACATGACAGTGACGCATACACAAAAAAACTGATTTGAAATGTGTATGTGTCTTATAAATAGAAACAATAATCTATTTGTAAGACACATCTTCTCATGCATTTTAAATTGAGAACGACTTCAGCACTGCAGCTTTTTCATAATATTATAATAATATAATGTATTCCTCTGATCCTCTCATACATTTTCAATTCAGCTGAATCATCACTATAATATTTTAATATATTTACAATTTACAAATTCCAATCACAAATCAAATCACCCATTTCAAAAATAGTACCCATACTCCTTTGCCTTTTGTGAGTCTTCTTCTACACGCTCTCTGAATCTACTCTGCCTTTTGTGAGTCTTCTTCTACACGCTCTCTGAATCTACTCCTCTGCAAGTCTTCTTCTACACAGAGTCTGCAAGTCTTCTTGAACGCTACTCTTTGGAAATTTCTGCAAGGCATTTTCTCCTCTGCAAGTCTCTCCTTTTGTTTCGTTGCTTTTTATAAGTCATTGCAAGTCGTCTCTGTTCACACCTCTCAGCAAGTAGGCTTCTGTTTTGTTGCTTTCGCACCTCTCTGCAAGTCGTCTATCCTTCTGTTTGCACCTTCGCACCTTTCTGTTCTTGACTTCTTATTTCCTTTTGTTTTTTAAATGGGATTTTGAATCCCTGATTTTTCTGAAGCAAACAACCTTTTAGATAACAACATGCCATTCCAAATCCTGCGACTGTTGAGTGTTTTTTTTTAATTTTTTTTTATATTTTGAATCGCAAAAAAATTCTGATTCACGACTCACAACCGAATCGTTTGATTCCACGATTCCAAATCACGATTCATGCCAAAAACGATTTGCTATTGCGATCCGTATCGATTTGCCACTGTATCGTATCATATCGCACGATACGTATCGCATATCGTGCGATACTAACAACTATGCTTGTGAGGTTGACATTGATTGATACAGTGCCGTTTCCTACAAGTTCTTCAATTAATTTATGGGAAAAATGTGTTGGGCTTCCTCCTTCAATGCTAAGCCCAAGCCCATTGAGGGGTTTTCCAAAAATTCTAAACCTTAAACCCTAAATTTCACCTCCTCTATATATTCATTAGTTGAGGGTGGAGGCTAGGTTAGATGAGAGAGATTTGATATTTGAGAGAAAATTGTTTGAGATTTGAGAGCAAAGCTTTATGCTTTGTATTTGAGAGATCTCTAGAGAGAGTTTGAGTGAAACATCTCTACGGTAGTTTGATTATCACCATTGTTGGAGAGGTTGAGTTAACCACCATATTAGTGTATTTTGATTCTTTGTAACCATTATTTTCATAGTGGATTTTTGATCTGGACTAAGTCCCGTGGGTTTTTACTTCTTCATTGAAGAAGGTTTTCCCACGTTAAAATTGCTTGTGTTATCTTTCTCTCTCCTTTTCTCTCTATCCCGTTTTTGTTTTTGATCTTTTCCGCTGCGCTGCCCGACCTGGTGAAGTTTAGGCCGAGGTATTGCCGAGATCCGAGATCATGATCTTGTTGATTGACTTCTGCAAAGGAAGGCCACTGAGCCGAGCTTGAGGGAACCGATATTTCCCAACAGTGGTATCAGAGCCCGAGTTCGACGGGTTCTGAGGGAGACGAGATGGAGACCAGTGGCATAACCAATGATGGAGACATGTTCAAGTTGACCGCATATAATTTCACCTATTGGAGACCGATGATGGAAGATCATCTCTACTGCAAAGATTTACATGAGCCCATTATCCTTGATGAGAGACCGGCAGGAAAAACTGATAAGGAGTGGGAGATCCTGAGTCGGAAGGCGGTAGCCACGATCAGGAAATATATTGATAAAAGCCTCTGAGCACGTGTCCGAGTTCACGAACGCGTATGAGTTGTGGACGAAGCTGGAGTCCATGATTCAGAAGAAGACTCCCAGGAATAAAGCATACCTGGTTCGCCGAATTGTGAACCTTGAATACAAGGACGACATGAGCATGATTGAATACCTCAACACCTATAAAGGTATTGTGAATCAGCTGTTAAAAGCTGAGATGAAAATTGATGATGAGATGCAGGCTTTGCTGCTGTTGAGCTCGCTGCCAGAAAGCTGGGATACTCTGGTGGTGACTTTGAGTAATTCAACTCTAGAAAGAAAGTTGAAGATGGATGTCGTGACAGACAGCCTTTTGAGCGAAGAAGTCAGGAGAAGAGAACGAGGTATTTCAAGCACGTCTGAGTCCAACATTGCTGAAAACAAAGGGAAATTCGACTCCTGGGGTAGAAGCAAAAGCCGGGGTCGAGATCGTGACAGAAGAGGAAAGTCCAGAGGTCGGTTAAAGTCAAAAAATGAGTTTAAGTGCTTTAACTGTGGAATGACAGGTCATAAGAAGCCAGACTGCTGAACCCTGCAGAATGGCGAGAAGAACGGCTCTGTGAAGCCGGATCAGATTATTCCCAAGAAGAAGGAAGACAAGAGCACCACTGCGGTGGCTGCCAACTCGAATGCCAAGATATTCCTCCTTGGTGGGGATAATTATTTGATTGTTGCATATGATGACTGCACCTGGATTGTTGACTCTGGTGCCTCCTTCCACGTTACTCCACACAAAGGTTTTTTCTCCTCTTATCGAGGTGGTGATTTTGGAGTCGTGAAGATGGGAAATCAAGTGACCATCAAGATTGTTGGTGTCAGTGATGTAACTCTGACCACAGATGTCGGATGCCGACTTGTATTGAAATATGTAAGGCATGTTCCTGACATGCGATTGAACCTAATCTCGGTAGGCAAGCTTGATGATGCCGGGTTAGTGAACTATTTCGGTAGTGTTAGATGGAAGCTGGCCAAGGGAAATTTGGTCGTGGCCCGAGGTAAGAAGGAAGCCTCCTTGTACGTGATGCAAGGAAAGATCAATGGCGGAGAAGCAAATTCTGTCCGAGATGAACCTAGCTTGGAGCTATGGCACAAGCGCCTCGGCCACATGAGTGTGAAAGCGCTCCAAATCCTACACAAGAAAGGACTATTGACCGGGTTGAAAGGCCAAGTGTTGGAGAGTTGTACGCATTGTCTAGCTGGAAAGCAGCACCGAGTTTCTTTTGTGAGACCGAATCAATCCAGACGACGCAGGTATATTCTTGACCTCGTCCATACTGATGTCTGCTCCATGTCGGAAAGATCCCTTGGAGGAGCTCAGTACTTTGTTTCATTTATTGATGACCACTCCCGCAAAGTGTGGGTATATTTGTTGAAGTCTAAAGATCAGGTACTCCAATCCTTTAAAGAATTCCATGCAATGGTTGAAAGGGAGACTGACAAGAAATTGAAGGTGGTCCGATCTGATAATGGTGGTGAGTATTGAGGCCCTTTTGATGCATACTGCAGAGCGGCCGAGATCTGACTTAAGAAGATGCCCCCAAGACTCCACAGTTGAATGGACTTGCTGAAAGGATGAATAGAACTATTGAAGAGAAGGTCCGAAGTATGTTGTCCAATGCTGGATTGTCGAAATCATTCTGGGGAGAAGCCGTCAAAACAGCTGTTGACTTGATCAACCTCTCACCATCACGGCCACTTGAAGGAGAAATTCCAGAAGAAGTCTGGACAGGTCAGAAAGCGGCCTATAATCAATTGAAAGTGTTTGGATGTCGAGATTTCATGCATATCCCTAAAGATGAAAGGGCAAAACTTGATGCGAAGACAAAATAATGCATCTATCTTGGTTCGCCGAGATGTGAGTTCGGGTTCTGACTTTGGGATCCAATCAATTAGAAGATAGTGAGAAGCCGAGATGTGATCTTTCATGAAGATGAGAACATTCATGACATCTCGAAGCCCAAAGTCCGAGTTACTGTGAGATGCGAAGAATTCAATCCTCCTGTCCGAGCTGAAGCAGGGGGAGAAAATCAAGAGAATGAAGAAATTGATGACCAGCAACAAGCTGAAGATGACCAAGACATTGAGGTCCGAGTTGATGATGAGATCCGGGATGAGAATGATGAACCGGGTTCTCAAGCTGAAGAACAGCCGAGATATCCAACTCGAGAAAGAAGACCCTCTACGAGATACCCATATGATGAATACACCGTTGTTGCTGAAGACGGTGAGCCTCAGAGTTATGATGGGGCTATGACGAGCTCAGAGAAAGAAGAATGGAAAAAGGCAATGCAAGATGAGATGAAGTCTCTGCACGGGAATCAGACTTATGAGCTGACCGAGTTGCCTAAATGAAGACGAGCTTTGAAAAATAAATGGGTCTACAAGATTAAGAATGAAGAGAACGGGCAAAAGCCGAGATACAAAGCCCGGATTGTAGTGAAAGGCTGCAATAAGAAGAAAGGAGTAGACTTTGAGGAGATTTTTTCTCCTATGGTGAAAATGACCTCGGTCCGAACCGTGTTAGCCATGGCAGCTTCGATGGACCTCGAGGTAGAACAAATGGACGTGAAGACGGCATTTCTTCATGGTGATTTAGAAGAAGAAATATATATGGAGCAACCTGAAGGATTCCAAGCTTCAGACCAAGAAGACTTGGTATGT